AAACAGCAACGAATGTCAAATATAGATTTGCGTTGTATGTGCTCATTTATAATTAACTAATTTGATTCAACCTGTCAGATAGATTTCCTCGTAGATTTTTCCATCAACCATAATTTGACAAGATTTTCCAAAACTTTTTCGAACATCAAGAAGTTTCTAAACATAAACCAATGAATGGGCTGGTCAGGTAGAAAAGAACGATATCAACGAGTCGAGAAACACAGAATCTTTTTTTTTTATTCGAATTAGAATTTTAAATTGAAATTTAATTAATGTACAAATTCCCATTTTTTTTATGCACAATTTTAAAACTTTTATTGTGATTGGCTGTAAATTTTACCATGATGAAATCTGAATATACAACAAAACACCTTGATGGTGCAAGAGTTCTTTTGTTGACAAAATAAAAAATGAAGTCGGCTAGTGTTACTATCACATTTTGTAAATTCTCTTTCATTTCTTTTGTTTTGTTTTTACAGTAGGTTTTCACATGGCGACAACAACACAGGGAATGGCTTGCATCAAATGCAAGAAAACAAAGAGCATGGTAATGTGTAAAGGGTGTTCCAAAGATTTTTGTCTCAATCACATCATTGAACATCATAATGAATTGAGCGAACAATTAGGTAAAATTGAAGATCAATTTAATGAGTTCAGAGTTGAAGTCGGCCGACAAAAAGCTGAGCCACAAAAACATAAATTAATGAAGCAAATCGAAGAATGGGAACGTGTATCGATCGAAAAGATTCGACAAGTGGCGAATGAAGTTCGTCGTGAACTCTCATCTTATGTCATTAAATACGTCAAAGATCTTGATTTTGAATTGCAAAAATTGTCCGAACAATTCACTCAATGTCGCAACGAGCAAGATTTTATCGACACAGACATTCACTTTTTCAGTGAAGAACTTCAAAGATTGAAAAATACTTTCAACAATCCACCTGATTTCAAAGTTGAATACGATTCAACATCTTTCATCAAGAAAATTCTCCTTACAATTAAAAGTAAGTCATGTGTTCTAGTTGAAGTCAAAAAGATACAAAGAGTTTTAGTTCATCTCGTTTTCTCAGGTGGACAAAATGAATTCTTCAAGCATTCATAATGTATCGGATTGCAGAATTTTCCACGTTACAGAATTTCATTGTTAAATTTCATTGAGATGAAACATTGAGAGCCAAGTTTTTCTTCTACAAATTTCGCAGTTGAAATAGAGACATAAGATGGAACAGTGTAATAATTCTTGCTATTTAAAATGATGATTGTTTTCATTGAAATTTCTGAAAACTTTCTCTCAATCATTTAGCTATCACTTCAAATTTTCCGGGATGTAAAACTAAATATGAATGAACACTGTTTCAAAGTATAAGTTCATCAAAAAAGTTTTTGCGCATTTCGTTGAACATTGAGTTCGATTCGGATGTGAGGGTGTGGATGAAGTGTGGGTACAAAGAAGAGTCTCACCTACACTCGCAGTATTGGCGGCTATTCTTCAAAAGAAATTGAGCATTTTCTTGAGTTCGACTGAGTTAAACTCAGTTCACAATTATGCTTCACAAATGACACCTTATCGTTTGGATCTTATTAAATAAGAGCTTTGTAAGCTGTCTGCTTTTTGTATACTGGTTCCACAGCGTAGACAAATAACTCATTGAAAAATACTAAACGATTGTTTTCGGTCGATCACCGTCTGCAATGTATCTGTCACTTTAGATCAATTGGTTAAGAATGAAGAACAAGTAACAGGTACGGAATGATTGAGTACTTGATCAATTTCATTACTTTCCTTGATCTAGGTTTGTCGACAAGACTGAGCACTATTAATCATCTGAACTTAGCGGCAGTCGCCGAGAAATCGTCCGAAAACAATGGCAAGAAAACAGAAGAGAGTTTATCATCGACGATGCACACCACTTCACAATTCGATAAAAAATTGTCCGTTTTCGGCAATTTTGCCGACATCTCGGGAAAATCATTTTTCGGAAATTGCCCATCTGTCAGTAGTAGCTTTGGTAGTCCCACATTCGATGCACCACCAGTCATTAAGTCGACGTCTAGTATCCCCGGTGGCAGTTTTCATTTTTCTGGATTCGGCAATGCGTCGACGAGCAGTTCATCATCCATCTTTCAGCTCCCTACTTCGACCTCTACAATTGCACCAGTTACCAGTTCGATCATGAATACCTCAGCCACCTTTACCTTCGAACCGTTGCCAACAAGCAAATCGCTGTTTGGCTATCTATCCGAGTTGAATTTTTCTAATTTGCCTAAAGAAACTTTGCCAAATAACGAAAAATTGACATCGAATGGAAACGATCCACAAGGTATGGAAAAGTTTGGATGGGAGTGCTTTATGTTCATTTTATTTCCATGATTCTTTTCTAGTATTTGCTGATGAAGACTTGAGGATATTCAGCACGAATAATAATTCATCGACAGCATTACATGTCAATACTACACAGATCAGCAATAACGAAGACGGTAAGGGTGCTGGTGACAAAAACGATTCCTACGAGCTACAAGTCTTCTTCAAACCGATTGTTCAGTTAGTCGCCGTTGAAACGAAGACCGGAGAAGAAGACGAAAAAGTTCTCTTTTGCGAAAAAGCCAAACTCTATCGATTCGATTCGACCAGCAATCAGATGAAAGAACGAGGTGTAGGCGAAATGAAAATTCTCCAACACAAAATTAGCAATCATTGCCGAATAGTCATGCGCCGCGATCAAGTGCTGAAAGTTTGTGCTAATCATTACATTACACAACAGATGGATCTGAAGCCACACCAGAATGCAGCAAACGCATTCGTTTGGTTAGCGATGGATTTTGCTGGTGAAAGTGCTCAATATGAAATATTGTGTGTGAGATTCAAAACCAACGATCAAGCTCAACGATTTGCCAAACAATTCAATGATTCCAAAAGAATCAATGCGAAAATGTAATCAAAATAGAGGTCATTCACATATTACTTCATTA